TTCTAGGCCGTCCAGCGCCAGCTTCCTCGTAACAACGTCGACATGGGCCATCACTGTCCCATGGGCGCCTGTAACCCGTCACCCGCGGCTGTCCTTCACACCACCGGGCCCACGCAGGGCGCCTGTAGCCCGTCACCCGCAGCCCACGCAGGGCGCCTGTAACCCGTCACCCGCAGCTGTCCTGCGCACCACCGGGCCCACGTAGGGCGCCTGTAACCCGTCACCCGCAGCTGTCCATCACACCACCTGGGCCAACGCAACAGCTGGTTTTCTTGTCATGAATTACTGGGCAGAAATAACTTAGTTTTGACGTGCCCGTGTCGCCGCAAGCGCTTAATCGCCCTCGCAGGATGGATCGTCCTTGTATGGTGAGAATAATTTGTTGTGAGAATAGTTGTCAGACTCGACCTATCAGCAACGTGCTGCTCTTATTAAACAATCCTGATGTAATATGGTAATATTATCCTATGTAATATGGTGATAAAGACTTAAAAGAGTGGATAAAAAAGCATGAAAATTCATTTTAGATCCATTGAATCCATTGATTTTAATAATATTGAATTTTCAATATTATTAAATTAAATACTTCATTGAATTTAATAATATTTTATACCCATTCAGGAATAATTCTCCAATTTAATATAGAGATGAATTTCCATCTTAAAGCAAAAAACATCTAAGCGATGAACAGGAACGACACGAGTAGTTTCACAGCGAATACAAAGTATCACACATTATATTACTTACAATATAAGCCTCATTTTTCCAAGTGTGCAGCCGAATTCAACGGGTTTGGACGAATGAGAAGTCAATTGACAATCAGAGAGTTATTCCTTAGGGGTCCTACAGGAGTACCTACCATTGCACTACCCTACCTTTCATCTCTCAATTGAAGAGACTCAGAAAAAAACGGCCTCTGTCATCCTTCGAAGCCGGCAGTCTTTTTGACGCCTCTTACATTCGATAAAATAGATCAAACAGCAGTTCGCTTCTTGCACTGGCCTTGTTTGAGTGCGTTGGCACTTCGTAGCATCATTACTTGTGATGTAACTGTTAGGCTCGTCTGATGTGACCTTTCAGTTGCATGATTTAACTGACATGTTTCTTCGACACGCCTGCTTCCGGGAGCTGAAGACGTACGTGGCTGGGTAAACTGCATGACAACGGAGTGACTATTGCTCTAAATTTATAAATTTAATCTTCAACCTTGTAGGTATTGCTTCAATAATTTAAATTGGAGAAATGGAGGCGGAGAATGGAGAATTAAATGGAAGAATGCAATCTGATTTGACCTTCGGATAGCATAGGACAGAAATATCTGAAATATTGGGATTCAAGGTACATTTTATTGCAGGTATCAGAGTAAGTAACTATAAAAATCTACTCATATTGAACGCATGTTTTGTAACAGACGGATTCAAGTGAGTTTTCTGAGATATCTTCGTACTGTTCAACGTACGAAGGCATTATAGTAGCTGCGCTCCGTGCTCTCCTAGACATAGTTGCACGTTCGTAAATTCAAACTTGGCAATTCAGGGAAGCCTAATGCACGGACCAGTGACTTTATGTGGCGGCTTCACTGGCTGGCCGTCCGCTTCACCGGATAACGCAAATGCTGGAATGCTCGTTAAATAGCCAACAATTCCTGGATATCGGGGGCTCGGAGCGAGTGTGAAAATGTTTTTTCCACGATATCTAAAGTACATTTCATGTGCGTCCTTTTCATGTAACGTGTGCAGTGGCACGTGAGATGGAGGAAGCAAATATTTTTATATTGAAACCTCTAAAATATGCTTATATTTTATAAATTGATATATTCTTAAAGAGAAAAATTGCAGAATAAATCAACTCACATGAAAACTGCTGTTGGTGGAGTATAATTCATTCGGAAAACCTTATTATAACAATAAAATAGTTGAATGACATACGTGAGATACCAGTAATAAATAGGATACTTTTGCCTCAACTTTACGTAATTAATATAATGATTACCGCGGCTGCAGGACGCAGGTCAACAGTCCAGCGACCTGCAGACGAACGCATTCGCCTGCCGCCTGCATCTGTTGAGGTGCACGGTGAGCTCTACAACATGGATTACTTTTATGGTGTCTGTAAATTGGGGAATACATACAAGCAAGTTACATTTTTCATACGAGAATTCAAATCAAAATCAATGCCAGTGTTATTTCATGTCGGATATATAACCATTAATTGCTGAATTACAGCGTACCGTTTTTTTTTTTCTCGGCAGTTAATTAGCTAAGCAAAAACAAAACTGCCTCGCATCAAAGCAACTTTGCGTTTGATGAAACGGGAGACCAGGAGAGAAACATTTGTATAGAATTACGATAATGTCTGTCCATTCACTTATAACAGTTCAAGTAATAAATTGAACTAACCGATATTATTTACGAATAAGAATGCACGTTTGCAAACATCGCGAAACTAGCGACTTGATTGTGGTCTATTTTAATCCCGCCATCACTGATCTCGGCAGCTTTGAAGTTTTAGCTTTGCCGGCACCGGTTCACGGTCAGCCATCCTTCGCCCGTCCCCTAATTTGGCGGAGATTTATTCCAGACATGATTAATTGAGCTTTCGATTGTGACGCGGAACTTCCGTTTGTACCACCACTGCAGTCACTCCCAGAGACTTGTGCCTCTTGTTTGGAATGCGACTAAAATTGTCAGATCCCTTCAATTGGCCAACACAAGAACAAAGCCCTTGGCTACCTCAATATTTGCTTAACCAAATTACAGGAGCGAGGAAACAATTTTTTTGTTCACTCACTGCCTCTACATTCCAAGGCAAAGATAGTGTGACAGAACGGAATATTGTGAAAGTTTTCTACAATCCAACACAAAATTATACTCTCTGAAATTTGAGTGAATGAAAAGAATTTTGATATGAACTTAAATTACACCTGGAAAATATGAAATAAATACATTGCAGCAACGTCACCGGGAATGTCTTACCTGACATCATGTCGATGATGGCTCCTGCAAAACATATCGTTTTGACTGAACTGGCAAAACGATACAAAACCACAGAGTTCGAAATATTTCTCGTCGTGATCGACCACAATAATAGAAGTATAATCAGGTCGCTCGTTTAATCATAGAATATTACTTGTCAGTTTCGTTGTCATTTCGGTAAGTAGCCCCGCCAAGAACTCACGTCGTGACAGCGGGCGGATAAAACTCAATGCATGGCTTCACGCTTCGTCAGATGAGCACATCTAATTGAATGGTTCATTGTTGAGCAAAATAATAACATATCATTTAAAGCGAAAAAATCAGATCTGATGTTATGAAGGAAATGTGGTTTTCATATGTACCTTTTATATAGAAGCATTTGAACCAAAATGAATAGTACGTTCGCGCGACGTTACCGGATTGCGCCTGATATGCGGAATATATAGTCGCCACCATTCGGTCTGCACCAGCACAATGAACAGTTGTGTTCTTTGTTTAACTTTCATATTTTAGGTTATATAACTGACTCCGTTGTTTTTTGTAATATGACCTGGAATTTATAGCGCGAAGTAAATCTGCATATAGATTTGAATGCGAATAATTCTTCGTAGGCTTTATCGTGTGTATTAGAAATGATTTATTAGTGTAATATGTAATAGGTTATTTGTCTCATGCAGAAATACCTCCGCAATCTGAACTTTCTTTCTCGTTGTTTGAATTAAATTTTTATTAACGATCGATTTTATTCTACCATTTGTGTTTAACTGCGAGAATAAGACGAACCTGGTGAATGGCAGATAGGTATTTCGGTACGCCCAGGACATGCTTGCCTCCGTAACAATGCTGGTCAGAGCTCACATCCTCACCAATGTGAAGGTTTGCAAGTCTACACAGGAGTGGACTTCTCTGCTATAACTGCAACACGCAGAGCTCTGCGCGGTCTGCTGGCCTAGAGTTTATAGTACTTGTCACTCAAGTTTGGCCCGTTGAAGATGTTCGCGTAACATAGAGGTAAACTTGGGAGCTCCGAAGATGTTTCAAAGCGTCCATATATGGCTTATTGAATAATAAACCTTGTCGATGTTTCATCTATTGGTCATCAATCTGTTTCTTCTAGAACGATTCAAATAAAAAGTTGTCACGCATGCGCTGTCCAGTGTGCGCAGTTAGCACAATACCGAGCAACTTCCAGTGTTGTGGTAAAAAATTCACGATGTAATCATGAGGTTAACGATGTCCATAGACTACATATAGGATAAGACTTTTCTTACCGGTTACTTTATTAAACTTGGTGGTGTTGTGCTGACTGGCTAACAAAATTGCTTTCATTTGCCTCCAGTCTTTGTATGTAAGCGAGACAGCTAATGTGAAAGAGTTGCATTTGTATTTAAATAGCTTTGAAACTCTTAATTTATCATTAAGCAAGGAGATCACTGTGCACTCTTGCGTATATCCGCATCGCATATTTGTTGACCCGAGGGCTGACCTATGCAATGTTTGACATTTATAAGATTTAACTCATCTCAATAATTCATTGACATTTAATGGGTTCCTTTAATCACAGGAGAGTTCCATATTATGAGGGTACGAATGTATTGTGATTTTTCGTAAAAGATCCATCGCATGCCAGGGAATACATGTGCTAATAATTTTCTCGTTTAATTTTCAGAGACTCAAACGCTATTTTTCATGGCGTGTTCTTGGCAAAAGGTATTCTTGAATTACCTCAATTCCCCGGGGGGCGTAAAACGCCCTCATACTGTTCACATCGTAAGCTACTTCAAGACGTTGTAGCGGCACCTGTGAGTGAGATCCACACGCGCACGCTAGCGAATTAGAGGAATGCGTGTGCGAATGATTAATGAAGGAGTTTTTCTTAAGGTTTTTATATAGAAATTTACTTTTCGATGTTGACCGTACATTATGGATTTTATCGCTCGATCGTCAATTGCTTTAATTCTGTCAGGTCTCGCATGAATAGGTTACGGCAAAAATGGTACAAAGAGGGTTCTAATGAAACACTGATATATTTCATATTAAATTGGGAAACTCCAGTTCACATTCTACGTTGACATCAATCTCTACCACATGAAAAAGAAAGTCCAAACACAATCAAAATTGAAAATCAATCAGTTTAAATCACTCGAATAGCTCTATTTAATAGAGACGTTGATCCGTTGCAGTTCCTTTGAGTGGACGAAGCCGCTGCTGTATTCCAGCGAATTCTTTCACAGTTCCTCTTTCTTCATAACCGTCGTGTCTCGCTGATATAGATGTCTCACGGCCAGCCTAACCGTAGAATTTATGACGACCGCTCTTCGGTTGATGACTGTGCCCTTATCGTTTCTTCTAATGAGAACTGTGACCGTACCGAAGATAATTGTTGCTCGTTACTTGAAAACTTGAATCTTCTGATGGCGGGCGTTTTTAATCGTTGTACAACTCGCGGCCCTCCCGCATTGGCTTACGGCTGAGTCGCGCCTCACGGCCGAGTAGCAGTCGTAGCGTTGATGTCGACTGTACGTTGTAGATTTAAGACGCGCTCACAGAAATCATAGCTGCCTCGAAAAGTCTAGGTTTCTTGCGACCGTCAGTGTTCAAAAACGGTGAAACCGCGGGCCTCACGGCCGGAGCCCTCACAACGTCCGCATACTGCAGACCGTACTCGCGTGACGGTCACCTCCGTAGGTCACCTTTGGCGCGAATTTTAGGGCCCTTTTATACGCTGGTGTCGCCCTCGTTTAAGCCTATCCCCTCGAAGTGACGCCGCGACGGTTTTGAGTTCCATAAGGGTTCCCTTTGATAGCCTCGCCATTCCAAACTATAAACAAACCCTCGGTCTCACGATTTTCTTCCCTAACTTTGCGGTCAAGTCACATCCTGCCAATAATTGCTTAACATAGTTCAGTCCCTTCTCTACTTCGCAACACCGATATTTTCAATATTATAATATAAAATGGTTAGCATTACCTATGTGCTTTATTCACGTAGCAAAAACAGCAACAATTCTGTATATCCCCAAAAGGATGAAATAGATCTTGAAGACCATTTGAATTATTATTAGATCAAGACAACCTCTACAACGGTCTATAAGTCTCGAAACAAAAATGTATCCATTCTTTTCTCTAATTTCAGTTTAGCAAAAAATAAAACCTGAACGTGAAGTACTGCTGGAAATATTTTCCTGAAAGAAAGAAAGAAACTGCTGGAATATCACGACTACTTACTATCGCCAGCCATTTCAACCCAGTACGGTAGATGAAATTATTAATATGTATCATAACATTATTTAATGGTCCACATTGGAATATACATTGATAATTATAGTGAATTATTTTCATCTATAGATGCCACGAACACTATAGGCGGAAGGTCATCCACAATACGTATTTATGTGCACCAAATCAGCTACACTCCGCCTATCGTATCCACCCGAAAAGGATTTATTCCAAATAATTTTAAACAATAACGTGGACCTGGAAAATTTGGTTCACTCGATCATCTGTATGATGAATCTTGACAGCTGCACTGCATGTTGCTACTGAATAATGCGTCAAGTTTTTTAGTGTAATTGAACTTAGAACTTATCAAAGGTGCTGTAAATTCAATATGTAACCCTTCGATCACGTCGGGCTCTTGAGCTTCTAAATTAATTAGAAATGGAATAGAAATAATACGCAGAAGAAGGATCCAATTACTATATCGCTAATGAGTTTACTTAAGTAGAGATTGATGACTTGTTTTGTGGTATTTTTCTGAGCCGTCATAGAGAAAACTTGCAAGGGAGTCGGGTAAATACCGGTGACCTGTTTTGTTTTTTAAATACCGGTGACCTGTTTGTTTTTTAAATTTTCAATACAAATTAAAGATATGTGTATTAACGCGCAAGGCCCTAGTTGAGACATGAATCAGAATTTTGAGGTCATAGTGCTATTTTTAATGGAAATTTTTATATTAAAAATTGTATTTTCTCGCGAAGCATTGAACATCACTGATGCAATCGTTGTTCCTGTCTCGCTTCTGGCAGTCAGTGGGGCAATTCGACCCTGGGTTGATGAATCCGCCTCCTCCACCGAAGCCTGCTGAACTGAAGCCTCCTCCACCGAAGCCTGCTGAACTGAAGCCTCCTCCACCGAAGCCTCCTCCAGCGATGCCTCCTCCACCGGTGCCTCCTCCATCTGGTCCAAAACTGAGTTGCGGCTTTTGCATAGTGTCTTCTATGAATAACAATGACTCCTCGAAACATTTTAATTTCTGTGGCCGGTGGATCAGAGACAAGTAGTCGTTGGAGGTACATGATTCAGCGTTACTAGTTTGGCTCAATGCACGCAGTTTCATGTAGCTCGAAATGAGATCAATGTTGCGGTTATTGATGTCCACCATCACGTTGAAGGTGCGGTAAGTGAACACGAGAAAAGTCCTGAGTTGTATTTTTACAATCTTTAAAGTTTCTATGAGCTCCGACAACACCGCATCGTGATCAAACCTGAGAAGTTCATCATCTAGTGAGGATAAATCAAGCAGGTAGCTCAGTGGATAGTTCTGTTGAATAAGCTTTTTTATTTCCAACATGAAATAGCACAAGAAGTTTAGTCTACACTTTTTCTTGTCAAGAACAACACAGGGTTCAGAGCAAGTCTTATTGTTTCCATCAGCTGGGACGTCGAAGTTAAAAGCGGGACTGTTGGATGAAATTTGGTCTTCCGATTGGACTATTTTGGCTTCGTAATTGGTCCCACTGACGTAGATTTCTGTTAATTTTTCGAATAAATCATCAATTTCTTTTGATGCTCTATGTTTTACAATCGCAGGAACTTGTTTCATTCTCTTTTCAATATCGGTAGGATTCTGAACATTTATCAAGTCCAGAACGTACTCGTAATCAGCCGGTTGAACTAAAGCAAGAGTTAACTTGAAGAAACACGTCGGGTCAACCATGCATGTTCCGTAACTGCTCCAAACCTCGCATGGTGAAGTACAACTTTCAGCCACTTTGTATTGAACGCTGCTGGTCGGAAGCCGTGTGTGAAGTCCACAAGATTCTCGTGATTCTGCGGTCGTGGAACACATTAGTGCTGCGGCAGTCAAAAAGAGCTGATAGGCCTTTACTGGGAAGCCCATTGCTGACGGAGACAAGCAAACTCTAGTTCAGCAACATGTAGTAAAATATTTGTTCTGGATATGAATGTTCGACGGAAAGTATTTAACGGACTGTAGGATCTTGAGTATTATATTTGTGCACTGATCCGGAAATCGGCATAGAAATTTTTGGTCCAACGAGCGTTGCAAGCAGTGGTCCTAAAATTGAAGTAAAATTATACTCTAAAACCACATTTTCGTTGAAACTGCACTGAAATCTGTGAAAACAACCGCGGAGAAAAAGTCTGAACGACGAGTAGTTGCGAACTTGGCACCTCGTCACTGCTTAGACGAGTATAAAGGCTCTGAACCGTTTCAGCAACTACACTTTTCGTGCTCTGTGGAGAAAATGTGAAATATATTCATCAGCTTTTTCAAAGAATTATGGGGATTAAATTTAGTTTTCTCCATGAACCTTATTAATACCTGAATAAAATCTTCTTGTTATTAGAATTCTCAATTCTTGCACTGTGTCCTTCCTATTGTATATTTTTCATAGAAAAATCAAATAACAACGTTAAGCCTTTGTATTCACGATAACTCAACTTCATCAGAGAGTAATTTTGGTTCTTTGTTTTTGAACGAGCGACTGATACACAAGACGTTTTTCTTTACCTTCTCTTTAATACAATTCACAGCAACTTTCTAAATTCTGTAATATGATTATTCCATTCCTTAATTCGTTAGCACCGCAGAGGTCAAATTTGTTAAAAAATGACTACAACAATAACTGGTCTAAAATATAAAAACGAAGACCTAGTTTTGTCGTATTTATCAAAACGCAGTTAAACACACTGGTGGAAATCAATTTTCCAGTTGATAATCCTATGACCTTCTTAATTTTTACAATGCCAGGCAATTATAGCTCCGAAACATTTCACTACTCGCATAATTCGGATAATGTCGCACATCAAGATAATTATATGCGTTTAAAACTTTCTTTTTAAGGACAATACTTCTTAAGAATCCAGTGTTTCCGCTGTTACACAGGTACAATGAATTTCTAATTTTTTTTTTTAATATTAAAAAAATAATTTTTTTTCAATAGATAGAAAACATTTAAATTTTCGAAATTATTTATTCTGTCAATTGATTAATTGCATTTTCTCCGACTTCACGCACGTGTGCAAAATTTCAGAACGATTGGACAAGAAGAAGTGTGCGGTTTGTAGCAGACAAACAAATAAACAAAGAACAACAGTTAAAAATAAGTGTTATAAAATACTTCAATCACTCTGGGTTCGATAGGGCGAGCACCAAATAACTGGCTCGGTCATTATTATTCAAACGCGGGACAACTTGTAAATGTTAGCCACTATCAAATTTTCTTCTACGACTTTTTTCAACAGTGATCTGTAATCTGTTTAAACTCGGATTTGCCTGAGTTTAAGTTGAGAATCTTGCTCTAGCCCGACGGATAGACGCGCCCTGACGCTAGGTAGCTGCTCCGGAGACTGCTTGCGGCAATGGAGCGGCGCGGCACATGCAGCACGGAACCCGTCCAGCGACTTGGGCCAGAGAGTTCCAGGATCTTTTGTTGTTAGTTGGCTCTTTTTTATTCTCTTTGAGTAAATTATAACTGTGTAAGACAAGTTTGAGTTACGAGGAATAAATTATGATAACAACTGTAAAAACAACTGGCGTGGATGTAGCATACCTGGACTTTGCCTAAGCTTTTGACAAAGTTGACCATGGGGTGCTTTACAGAAAGCTGAGACTGTTAGGGGTAGGAGGGAAACTGTTAGGTTGGATCCACAACTTCCTTACAAATAGAGTACAAGCTGTCGCAATTGGAAACTTGAAATCGAGAGAAGCGAAAGTGAAAAGCAGAGTGCCACAAAGCTCGGTGCTGGGACCGATCCTCATCCTCATCGCCGATTTCAACTCGGAACTTACCCACCCATCTACATATATCGTCATTTGCGGACTATACAAGTGCTGATGAAGATGACAGAGAACCTAGCCTGCAAGAGGTAACAGAATGACGTGTCGACAATCTATGATTGGGCCCTAGTGAATAATATGCAATTCAACGGCACCAAGTTCAAAGTAAAGAGATACAGAGTTGGCACAGACACCGGGATGTCACATCGCTAAATTTGGCATCGGATGGCACAGAAATTGAAGAGAAGCAACTTGTTCGAGATCTCGGAGTGTTGATGAGTACTGCAAGCAGCCACGTTAATTCGATGACCACATCGAAGAAATAGTTGCGCAATGCAGACAAAGGATACGGTGGATCTGGCGGACATTTCGAACAAGAGAAGCAGCGCCAATGATTACCCTCTTCAATGTAATCAGCGCCCTGGTGCTCCCCAATCTTGAATACTGCTGTCAGTTTTGGGCGCCGCTCAAGGCGGGTACGGTGCGAAAACTGAAGGCAATGCTGCGGACCTAAAGCATCACACGATCAGGATTGAGGGAAATAATAGACACTTTTTCTGGTCTCAGTATAGAACCCTGTATAAATAACAGATTGTTACAAGTTACATAAATACAAATACATAGAAAACGATTATAAACAGTATAAATCAAATTATCTATTAAACAAAGTAATTAGTACAGGATGACTGTTGCAACACATTAGTACTTACTCTAATAAGAGGTTCTAGTGCAATGTATCAAAAATACTAAAAGCTGGAATGAAGTTGGCTATTGTCGTATTCAGCTGCGGTTACGTTCAGATATAAACAAATCTTAATATTACAATTAAATCTAATTCTAAATTTCTAAATTTTTTATTTAATAATACAAAATCTTAAATATTAAACTGGACCGCTACAGACCTTCACGTATTCACGTAGACGTAGAGAATCAGCGGCAAGGCTGAAACACCTGGTACTCTACTCACTGGAAATGAGATGAGAGAGGTATATCATACTGTACACTTGGAAGATGATAACTGGACTGGCTCCCAACTTTGAATGCGAGACTTCCAAAATTGTGAAGTATTACAACGAAAGGAGGGGAGAGTGTGCAGGATTCCCCCATTCAATAACCGTGCTGCAGCCAGGGTACAGACTATTCGTGAGGGATCACTATACTGTCTGTGGTAAAACCATGGCTGTTTAACGCCTTCCCAAAGGCGCTGAGAGGAGGGGAGTTTACCCTTGCGACTTTCAAGAGACAACTGGATAAGTTTCTGAAGATCCCAGATTGTCCAGTTATGGGAAACTACCCTCAGCAAGTGACAAGCAACAGCAACTTGCATGAGCTGGCCCGAAGGAGGGCAAACAGACGGAACACGTCCAACGTTACATCCGGGACCCGAAGGCGGGGTGACCAGCCTATCGACGCCTCGGAGACGGAGGACGCCGAAGGCGGGCGCATCAGCTTGGCCGCGGACTGAGAAGTCTTAAACTCATCATAAGGTCATAATGTCACTCCACTGTACCACTTATACTCCACTACACCACTTATATTCCACTGTACCACTTACACGAGACTGTATCACTTACACTCCACTCCACAACTTACACTACACTGTACCACTTACACTCCACTGGATCACTTACACTCCACCGTACCACTTACACTAGACTGTATCACTTACACTCCACTGTATCACTTACACTCCACTGTATCACTTACACTCCACTGTACCACTTACACTCCACTGTACCACTTACACTCCACTCCACCACTTACACTCCACGTAAAGGATACACTCCACATTGCAGGATGATCTATCGTCAATCTACGATTGGGCCCTAGTGAACAATATGCAGTTCAACGGCACCAAGTTCGAAGTAATGAGATACAGAGTCCGCACAGAGATCGGGATGCCACATCGCTACTTGGCATCAGATGGCACAGAAATTGAGGAGAAGCAACTAGTTCGAAATCTCGGAATGTTGATGAGCACTGAAGCCACGTTCGATGCCCATATCGAGGAAATAGTCGCGCGCAGCCGGCAACGGAAGGGGTGGATTTTGCGGACATTTCGAACGAGAGAACCAGCACCAATGATTACACTCTTCAGAGCCTTCGTGCTCCCCAATCTTGAGTATTGCTGCCAACTTTGGTCGCCACTCAATGCGGGTGCGGTGCGGAAACTGGAGGCAGTGCAGAGGACCTTCACGTACAGGATCAGCGGCATGTGGGAGCTGAACCTGAATTACTGAGGAAGGCTGAAACACATGTGACTGTACTCACTGGTGAGAAGAGAAAGGTATATCATACTGTACACTTGGAAGATGATAACCGGACTGGCTCCCTACTTTGAGAGTGAGACCTCCAGAATAGTGACACGTTACAATGAAAGGAGAGGGAGGCTGTGCAGGCCGCAGGGTTCCCCCATTTAATAACCAAGCCGCGGCCAGAGTATTGACTCTTCGTGAGGGATCACTGTCTGTGGTAGGAACGAGGATCTTTAATGCCTTGCCAAAAGCGCTGAGAGGAGGGGAGTTCACCCATGCAACATTCAAGAGACGACTGGACAAGTGGTTGAGAAAGATCCCGGATTGTCCAGTAATGGGAAACCGCCCTCAAGCCTGGTTCACGTTCTCTCTACCGGCTCATGCATGAGGTCTGTAAGCAGGGCTCTGTCGGATATACAGCTCTGAAGATCCACAGATAAAACACTCGACTCTCAAATTTCTACATTCTCTAGTATAGTGTCCGCAGTGTCTGCAAGACGTATCGTAACGTTCCGTAGCATAAGTTGTACCAGCATGATGTCGGAGTGCCTCTCCATACGAGGGTGGGCTCTGCGATTTCTCAAGACTACGAAACTGGCATGCGTTTTGGTTCCCACTAGCTACTGGGGAACAAATCCGAGACCTGAACGCATGCATCGCTTTTCTCCATCTGATTCAGGTTAACAGACATTACAGCACCGTTTCGCTGTTTCTAGTTTCCCTGGCATTCTCTACATCAAAATGACGGGTACATTTCATTACAGATTCCTACGTAAGACTCTCTCCTTTCATGATGTTAGCTCAATTTTCATGATTTCAAAATTTTTTTGAAGTCATTTGGAACACAGTTCGTGAATTTGCTCATCAACGTCTTGCTTAAGTTCACCTTGCATCGCGGATAAGCTAGTCTGTACGAGCGCTCCAGGCGCTGTTACAGAAAATACAGAAAAGATGTTTTGGCTCCTCAATCACCCAACAAGCTCTAGTGAAGTTCCTTTCAATCTTCTCGCGGCGAAGCTCTTTCATGTCTTCACCGCCACATAATTTCTTCTCGACGTCGTTGTAGGAGTCGTCCACTTCTTTTATTGAATTTGAATGCTTCAAGTATCTCGCACTTTGCTTCAAGTATCTCGCACTTCAAATTCAACTCCAGCTGACCAATCCATTGATCGCTATCGCCTCGCTACTTGTTCTCACAAAAGGTTGCAAAGCGTCGCAGGTATGTCTTCAAATGTTGCCTTGAGTCTGCGTCAAACTTCTCTAATGGCAGCACCTTGCGGCTATCCAATATTGTAAGAACGCTCATCCATTCTCCGAACATACCTTGGGGTTTCACATGATCCTTTTTCCTCTTGATGTTCCTCTTCCTCTTGATGTTCCTATTCCTCTTACGGAGCACAATCTCTTCGTCCGATGAGCTGCTGTTCTGCCCGCTGCCCGCTCTTCTCGCCATATCGCGTACAGAGTACTTCACGTCATCACCTGCGAAACTCTTTTTACACTCTTTCACACTTAGATTATTCAATTGGTGAGTTGCTCGTAATTTTGGCACAGCTCCCGATTGTTCATTATTAAAAACTTCTTCTGAACCTTGAGCTACTCTTTACTTCTAGGCTCAACAATATTTACCATGTGTCGCGAACATTACAAATGTCGCACATCGATTGCCTAGAGTTTAAGCAATCGATGCCTGACATTTGTCACATTATTTAAAAACTCAATTCTTCTCGATCACACTCCCTAGAAGTTGATGGCAAGGTATTTGCACTTCCTACATTCAATTCCCACGCTCAAAGAAATAATCACGTGGCAGGGCGGAAAAACTTTGAATTAGGTGGTCAAGCCGAGCAAAAGAACGGCCTCCGTGTAATTTTCACATAAAAAACTAAATAAATGCACCAATATATTCCACGACAACACTAAAGCGGTACATATTTCTACACCACTTTTACGATCACAGGTCGCTGCATGCGTCACGTCACCATTTATTTTGGGGCTGTCTGAACCACCATGCACCTTGTCTTCATGATCGTATTGGTTTAGTCACTAATGCATGGTAATTAAAACGCTTTGTTTTCCACTTCCAGACAAACAAATGATGAACGTGATGTAAGCTTATAACAATGAATAATCACACATAAACGTTATACTTCATTGCATGCTTTCCTCTTGAGGCGCTTCCTGAATTCAAGCTTTGAATCTTGACATTCTAGATTCAGTTTCAACATTTGAGGCTTTCCTAAAAGTGCCAAATAAAAACAGATAAATAACTGATAGCAAACAAACATTAACATACATATAAAGCATATATAATAACAAATCCAATCCGTATCAAATCCATTCGCATATATTTTTGCAAATTGACATCCTGACGCAGAACATACTTCCGCTCAGGCTTTCCAAG